ACAAAACCAGGCTATGCTACGTAGGTAGGCGTGCGGTTTTGCTTTCATATTACCTATTCCCTATAAAATTAATAAAACAGTATGTACAATTAAAGATTTGTTTACTATGAACAACGAAGTTAAAATATACAATGTTAGTATTATTTTCAAGGAAATTCAAAATTAGCTTCCCTACTCTAAAATAAGAAAAACTTATGGTTTGACAAAAATAATAAAGCAGTAATTGCAACGTTGTTTTGGCACTTAAACGATCGAAATCGAAACATCAAATACACTGTTTTTTTAGTGCGTTAGTTCGCTTCAAAAGTAATATCTTATTATTATGTTTTCAGTTTTTATTTGAAAAACAATAAAACTCACGTGATCCAGATTACAAATTTTACCAGAAATTGAAATCCCATTTTACATAAATTTCGTAAATTTGAATACAGATATACCTTAACTTAAAATGTTTTCATAAACGAAAATTTTGTATTTAAAAAAATAAGGTATTGCACTTGGAGAAGTGCCGCCAGAAGTAAAAACTTCTGGCGGCACTTCTCCAAGTATCTCCGCGTAAATTATGAGTATTAATATCTAAGATATATTTACTACAAGTAAAAACATAAATTGCGTCGAAATTATGAGTATTAATATCTAAGAGTTTCCGGTTTAAACGGGGCTGCCAGACTTGAACTGAGCTCTTAATCGCACCCCATTCGTTTTTAAGGAAAACGAAGTTTCAAACAAAAACCTACGCAAATGTCCGAGAAAATCATTCGTCAAAAATAAAAACATTCTACATATCTGACTAATAAATAAAACAAAAAACTCACAGTGTAAATTAATATTTTACTCAGAACCAGAGTCTGGCGTGCTGCTCTCATTAACTACGTTAATTATCAGTGGTTCAACTTGGGTCTCAATAATATTGTCAAGATCCCACATCGTTTGTTCCCACATTGAAAATTTAAACGTAGTATTCTTCTCTGCAATATAATTTTTTAAGTCTGCCCAAATTAACTCAATTGGATTAAGCTCGCAGTGGTATGGCGGAAGCCTCAATACTATTTGATTTTTTTCTTTACCCATTTTATTTTTACTTAGTATATTCTTTTTTATGGTTATTTACAATAGCCAAAAGCTCGACTTTTAGACGCGAGTTGTCAAAATTTATATTATTTGATCGTAGCCAATTTTTAATGTCCGCTTTCTTCGACGCGGTTGTCCTTATTTTTTCCACTCTTCTTGAGTGGTACTGTGCATTGTCTAAAACAATAACTGAATTCTTGTCTAATTTTTCTAATATCGAAAAGAACCACTTCAAATGACTCGCCAATCATCTCTTCATGATAGTCGCCAGATTTTTTTGACTCGAAAGCCCATAAAGCATCAGGAACAAACCCGTCCTCACTACCAATGTGACAAATGATCAACCTCTTTCCTTTACCTAAAAATAAAGCGATTTTTAATTTACTCTTGAACTGGAAATTAACTACTATAGTAAATGCAAGACAATTATCGTTACAGGTCATTACCTTAAAACATATGATACTGTCTTACATTATCTATAAACGATAACGAAGAATAATTTTTAACTTCATAACTTCGTACCTTTAAAGTGAAACCGGCTGTTACCATTATTTACTGGACGTGACGTGAAACTTTTAACAGACATTTAAACATACCTGATAGATTTTTTAATCCAGTCTACAAACCATCCAGAAAGGCTTGCCTCGAAGAAACGATAGACTAGACTTATCGACCCAAAGATTAGATTTCGTTTATACAGCATTAACCCACGTCTCATCTAGGTAATATATCTTACGACCATCATTTCGGTAAGCTGTAATTTTCTTTAAATATTACCTCCTCCACAAAACAATCTCATCTTTTTCTAACAACGTGCTCTGTCTTTCTCGTTTTTTATACTTAAAATTAAGTGTCTTAAGAACTTTATAAAATGTTCCTCTAAAAAATATCCTCATTAACTTCTCTTAAAACTTTGTCTACAGTAGTAATCTCATTTCTAAAATAGAATGCATGTTTGTGAAAATTTGCTATTTTGTTTTATTGGACACGAGTTTGTGTTTTGTTTTTATTTTGTCCGTTTGGTGGGAAACCGCCATTATATATTACATTTAATTTTAAAACAATTTTTACACATTTAATTTAATTTTATTAATTCAATGCATTACAATAGCGAATTCGCATTATTATGTTGTTGGAAAACCTCATTCTAACATTTATTAATTTAATTTTATCTTTGTTATTCTTCTGATCATAAAATATAAATGATAACATTTATTATAAATATAAATGAATAAATTCAAGCACTACAATTCCCTGACGCACGCCCCGGCTAAAATATTATCACTAGAACAACAGTGGTCCAACTAAGTTATAGCAATTCTTCCGCATACAAGGACTAGTAAATGATATGTATGCTGTTAATACGTGAGTTTCGTATACGATATATATTTATATAGTTTATGAGGTGGATATTATGTACGTTTATACATTGTAAATCTTGATTTGGGAGTGCTCCTCTTAATATTCATAAAGTTGATAATATGTCTTGGTTTGTTTACTGCTACTGCATCTTTAAGTTAAATTGGGTTTAGGTAGAACTTCATCTATTACATGTTAAAAAGAATGACTGAGTTAGAAGAGGCAATCCGTTCCACATTGGTTTTAGTTAATACAGACTTAGACTTAGACCAAATCTAAATAATGAAGACTGGATTATTTGTTCTCAATTTTCCCAAATTTTTACGGCCTTTTAAAGAAATAACAAGTACAATAAGTGGCCAAAAATACTTAAAGGGTAGTTCAGCGATTGTTATGGTATGCTGCCTGCAAGAATCTTGCAATAAAAGTTTAACAAATGGTAACCTTACATCCATAGTATCCTACGTAGTACAATTACTAATATCGGCTTTAGCAAAAGATTTAGAGGGATAGAACAGAGTGGCACATTGTCATTATGTACATTTATGGATTCACAATTTAAAGTGCAGGGATTTTCTGATAAAAATGCAGCTAAAAAACAAAAGAGTTAAGAAGCTGGTTACGTCTATAATTAAAGAACAAGAAGATTGTACTATTGAAAATCAACCAGTACAAGAAAAAGAAGCTGATAAAGATGACTTAAGTCCATGGTATATTTTTAATCAATTAATTGGACATGACTCATCTAAATGTACACCTGTATCAAGAGTCCATTACGATGGTGGAAAAACCATCGCCATGTATATCCTCACTTAACCACTATATTCATAAAATATTGTAAATGTAAACACATGTTCAAAATCTGGTTTAATTTTAAATAAAATTTATAATAAATATATCCTTCATTAGTTTCTTTGCACTTCAATAAATATACACATAAACAATGTCCGAAGTGGAAATCAAAATGTTTTATTACACTTATTGTAAAGTAGAGTTGTGGCATATTCAAAATAAAAAACAAAATCTACACCTAACGGTAGAAAGGCTTAGGACTAAGTAAGTTTGACAACATTGAATTTCCCCTTTTTTATTATTTCAACTCAATTTATTTTTGGCGATATAAAGGGGAGACCTAATATACCCCTCTCTTTTTAACAGGTGTTTCTCACTCCATCTCACGTAAGCTACTTACTGATCATAAACTTTTCCCATACTGGACAAAGGTATATAAAATATTACAAATTCTTAAACAATCTTCCATTTAAAAATATTTTCTTCTCACATTACTTATGCCCTATAAGAGCATTAGACATTTAAGAATAAAAAAATTTAAAAACTGTAGAACCTGTAAAAAATATCTATCAGATCAAGCTGGTCAAAACAGAATGATTCAAAAGCCACAAAAAATCTTACCTTAAGAAACTGCCTAAAATTGGGAAAAGATATGCATGTTAAATTTTTTTTAATTTTCTATTATTTCTACATTATTTTCGTAACCATAATCATAGTTGTATTATTATTACATAATTACATATAACAATTATCATAATTGTTCTTTTTATTGTATTTCTACCAGTACAGTATTTGCGTTTTTCAATAAATAATAAAATTTAAGTATATGGATAGAAATTATAACATTTATGTAAACCATTAAAATTATTCTTTACTTTTATTGCTCAACAGACCATGTAGGCTTAATGTTAAAATACAAACAAATCCTTAGCATACCTATTTAAAAAATATACAAATTGTCCACAAAACTAGCTACTAGCTTAGAGTAGACTTAGATAGTAAACCTTGTGTAGTAAACTACCTTTTTGCAGAATTAGGCTTCTATTTGAATAAAACGTGACAATAGATTGACAAAAAATTATTTGTGTACTGACAACTGTCACAACATTAAGAACACTAAATTATACTACATACATTCAACCAGCCCTATTTTTAGTTATGCCTATATTTTTGGTTTTCAATGCTAGATTCAATGCTTTTCATATAACTCTATAATATAATTGTATCTTTTGCCTTGACCATCTCCTTCAGGATATGGCGTTGTTTTACTTGAAGATGCTTCTTTAGAGTGTAAATAATTAATAAACTCTTGTGAAGTAAAGCTAGTTCCCCTGTCAGAATGTATATATGCCAGCATTCCATATAAACAAAATAGTTAATTCAAAGATTTAAGTACTGTCTGACTAGATGTATCTGAGCCTGGAAAAACTCATAAAAATCTTGAAAATTCGTCAAGAATTGTAAGCATATAGGAATTTCTATAAGAACTGGGTATTGGACCTTTAAAGTCAATGTTCAATCTTTTAAACTGAGCTGGTGATTTTATTAAATGTTTACCATCTTCTTTCTCACAAAATCTGGTTTTAATTTCTGCACATATTGGACAAGAGGTAATTACTTGTTTAATTTCATCTATAGAATAATGTATCATTTAACTAAGCACTTAATTTGTAATTATCTCATATATGCCCTTAAATTGTATTTAAGCTCAAAATATTAATATTGTTCAGAAGCTATTTTAAGCCACAATTTTACTTTAAAATTAATCTGTTACTAACCTTTTTCAGTTTTTTGGTTTTCTTCAAATAGGTTTATTTTATGTCCATGTTGTTCTATTTCAGTATTTATGGAACATTCCTTTAAGTCTAAATAATCATATGTGTCATGTGAAGTGTGTCTATTGGATTCCTCTGGTATTTCACATTTAAAGCCATCCAAAAGAGAATCATCAAATTCATTATACTCTATTTCTAGTTTACACGTTTTCTCGCTAAATTCTTTTTTTGGTACTTCCATTTTCTATTTGATTACACTTGATTTTATGTATCGAAATACCAATTTACTATTTACCATACCAATCACAATATACCATTTTTAAAAGTATGATTTTCACATTTGGTCCCATTGAAGATAGCCTCAAATTAGCTGTCATGCTGTCCTGTCAATTAAGTTACACAGAACGAAATCACAGAATAATACACAAACAGAATACCCACTCTCCACGGAAAATTAAGTACGCGCATCTCCTCCGCGCAGACGTTCCGCCATGTTTTAGGAGGATTTTAAAGAAATTAGTGTTGTTTATGTGGTGTGCATGGAAAAATTAACCAGGTTTATTTGACTTACGGCAATCATAAGCTGGATTTATAGTTTGACGGACTGTAGACGCAGACGCACTGGAAAAAGATCAACATAGACTTTTGTGTACTCCTATTTATAAATGAACGTAAACGCAAGACGGGACGTAAGCGAAACGCACTGTAACGGAAGAGTTGGTCAACTTTCAACCAATTTCAACTTTTACAGTGCGTTTCTTAAGCTGGATTTATAGTTTGACGTACTGTAGACGTAGACGCACTGGAGACGTAAGAAACGGACTGTAAATATTTTTTCAATTTATAAATGGACGTAGTGGAATTTTTGCGCATGAGTAGACAAGAATTGGCGACCCACAACATTAAATATAACCTATAAATTATACAATTATAGGAATCAGAATTCATAATAAAACAAAGGGTGTGTGTTTATACTATTGTTTATTATAATATTTTTGTTTATCCTTTTTGCGTGTTAGAATGGATTGTGAAATATACGAAGGTATGCTCCTTGGCGCTGTAGGATTGCTGCTGTGCTGTGTGCAGTAGCATCGCAAAAAACTAGAAGGACAATAATAAGGCGACCAAGGCGTTATAAAACAAGACCAATAAACCGTAATAGAAAAATAGAGAATACTTATAATTATTTTTTAAAGATGAAGACAGAAGATCCAGATCAATTTTTGGCATATTTCAATATTGGTGCAATGAACATAACCCATTCTTTCTTTTGATTGGTCAGACGTAAGAAACGCACTGTAAAAGTTGAAAGTTGACCAACTCTTCCGTTACAGTGCGTTTCGCTTACGTCCCGTCTTGCGTTTACGTTCATTTATAAATAGGAGTATACAAAAGTCTATGTTGATCTTTTTCCAGTGCGTCTGCAGTCCGTCAAACTATAAATCCAGCTTTACGTCTGACCAATCAAAAGAAAGAATGGGTTATGTTCATTGCACCAATATTGAAATATGCCAAAAATTGATCTGGATCTTCTGTCTTCATCTTTAAAAAATAATTATAAGCATTCTCTATTTTTCTATTACGGTTTATTGGTCTTGTTTTATAACGTCTTGGTCGCCTTATTATTGTCCTTCTAGTTTTTTGCAATGCTACTGCACACAGCACAGCAGCAATCCTACAGCGCCAAGGAGCATACCTTCGTATATTTCACAATGATTCTATAATTGTATAATTTATAGGTTATATTGAATGTTGTGGGCAATGACGTATAATATATAGACTCGGTGAACGCTTTAAAAAGTGTCCAAAACATGAATACCTTTGTTATTGTTTATTGTTTTGATACGAAGATGCACGAAGTTCATGATTTCTTACGAAGCATCACGAAGTTGATCTTGTGTTTGAAAACATCATGGACGTACTCCATTTTGTGTGACAAGCAAATTTTATTTTAAATTGTTGATAGTTATTTACTTACTATTTTAGTAAAATGCCATACTATTTTATCAAAATAATTATTTCTCTTATAGACGGGAACAAAAAGAAATCATAAATATTTAATTTTAATTAAAAAAATAATTATTGTCATTAACTTATAAATGAGCACGCCGCTGTTGTAATAAACATACCTTCAACCTTCAGCCGAGATCTTTCGGACACTCGATTCTATAGCGAGAATAGGGGACTGCGTAGTCTATATATTATACGTCATTGGTTGTGGGTCACCAATTCTTGTCTTTACTCATGCGCAAAAATTCCACTACGTCCATTTATAAATTGAAAAAATATTTACAGTCCGTTTCTTACGTCTCCAGTGCGTCTACGCTACAGTACGTCAAACTATAAATCCAGCTATAGATATACTATACAATTATATTAACATTGTTAAATATAATAACATAAATATAATATAATTAAACATAAATTTAAACAATTACATAACCACACAAATCATATGTCTGTGTCCTCCTAAAACATGGCGCGCGTGCTGAAAAACTTCAAAGGCGGCATCTGAGAGTGGCCCTTCTGATTGTTTATTATTCTGTGACGAAATGTTGCGTTGGCAGTGTTGCCATGATCTTATAATGTATATGTTATAACTATACTCTGTTTTTTAACCAGGAATAAACCAAAAAGACAGATTCACACCCAAGAAAGTTACTAGAAAAGTCACCAAATACATCTTCTTTTTTTGTTGTATATCTCGGGCTTGCGGTTATCGAGTAATCAATATCGGACAACCTTACACGTCAATTCTAACCTAACTTAATGTTTTAATAATTTTTTTTAAATTCACTTCCAATTATATTATAATTATTACAATAAAAAAGACGTTTTCACATTTGGTTCCATGTATATATATTTAAATATCGGGTGATCCAGTTTTATAGATCTTTTGAGTCGATGGTACTTAATTTAGAGAATATTTTGATCCAGAGAGTCAATAATGTTACAGATCTAAGTATGGTTTTTCTCAGAAATTTGACTTTTAATTTGCAAATAGATCTTATATGCAACAAAGCTATGCAAATACATGTATCAAAAAGTTAGAGAGAGTTTAAAGATTTCTGAAATACTGTTCTTTTAAACTGCGTAGACCATATTCTTATTCTAGTGTGATTATTTCTTGAATCTAGGTTTTTTTTACCAAAAGAATTAACTTTGACTTTGATCATTATTTTTAAGTTTAATAATCCAATCTCCTGAATTGCTTCAGCCAGTTTGTTTTACATATTCCTTCCCATTCACTGCTTTAAAATTGACTTTTTCATGTTTCATATCACAGAATAAATTATGGTTCAAATATAGGTGTGGTCCTACTTTTCATGCATGGTAATCAGTTACCTCATTAGATAGATTTAACTTATGTATGAATATCTTAAGGATCTATTTGAAGCACTAAAATGCAAAACAATAAATTTGTATATAAATAAGTGTGTACTTGAAATTTCTTTAATGCTGGATTCTTGTTTACTTTTGACAATGAGTTTATTCCATTTGTTATCAATAAATAAAATTGACTAAAATATACTGGATTTCTGTGAGATAATCAACTAATTTAATCTATTATGTTACATTCTAGTATAATTTTGTAGTTTTCTTGTGATGATCTACAACAGGAAGAACAAAACCAACTTTATCAATACAATCAAAGTAAAACACAACATTACTAATGTTCTTTTATTGTGATGAAAACAAAATGAAAATGCTTCTTACCAAGTATACACAAATTTAAAAGATAGTTGCCGTTTTTCTTATAATTAGATATAAATATCATACATTTATAAATTTATAAACACTGTAAACTCTATTATATATATATATATATATATATATATATATATATATATATATATATATATATATATATATATGTTATGAGAAAATATTAACCTTGAACTAGCTTAAGTTCGCCGACTTCAGATTTCATCATTTCATTCCCATAGAAACAGCTGAGCACGCAGTAGAACTTTGTACGAACCGTTGGCCAATATTCATGGGAACAGCGATTCAGCACTTCATACCAAACCTATAAATTGCCATTCTCAGATGCCGGGACCACTCTTAGCTGCAACTTCGACCAGTCCAGTTATTGTAGTCATTTTAAATTCATTTAATTTTGTACTATTATTTAATATTTAATTTGTAACAAATAAAGTTCTTTTTTAAAAAGTTAAACTCGTGATTAGTGATCTAACAATTGGCGCAAAGTCAGTAGGATCCGAAAAACGTTGCTAGAACACGTGTATACTCACTGGCAGCGGCGGATTCTCATCCCTTAACGGAACAAAGAATCTACGGAAGTCCTCACTCCTGTGATCTACGGAAGGAACACCTGGTGAAGCCCCTGGTAGCCGAGCAGAGAGAACAAGACGACCCTTAAAGAAGAAGACATCTCCGAACAACCTCACTCCTGTAATCTACGGAAGGAACACCTAGTGAAGCCCCTGGTAGCTGAGCAGAGAGAACAAGGCGTCCCGATGTTCTTCTTTATGTAAGTGGATTTTGAATCATCTCGTTAATAATTTTGTTTTAATAATTTACGAAATTGACTATACTGCAAGTCAATTAATCAAGATACAAAAAATAATACAAGTTGATTATCTAATATTTGAAATTATTGATATTGACATATTTCTTTTATACTATTTTATAATTACTGATATTTTATTCACATATTTTTTTTTACTTGCTATATTTTTGGTATATTTTCTTTTGATATATTTTTATTTGACATATTTGATACATTTTTACTTGATATATTTGATACATTTTTATTGATATATTATTTGATATTTTAAATTGATACATTTTTGTCCTTTATATATACCACCACATTTTTTTTTCTCTCCCTTATACACTGATATATTTTATACTTCTTCATACTTCTATTTTTCATTTTCATTTCAAAATATCTCGAAAAATGCCCGAGACACGTTCCCAAACTCAACAAGAAATCGAACCATACAAGCTTTCGGAAATATTTTCCATTATCCCAGAATTTGAAGGCGATCCGATTTCTCTTTCTACATTTTTAGATGCGTGCGACTGTGCCTTTAAAATGGCCACAGGCTATCAGCGCGTTCTATTAACGATTCACGTAAAAAATAAACTCAAAGGTAAAGCTGCACAGCTTATTAATTCTAGAAAACCACTTTCCTATACAGAAATAAAACAATTATTAAATCTACATTTCGGAGACAGTAGAGACCTGACCTCCTTAATACAAGACTTACAAAGACTAAGACAACTATCTAACGAATCTCCTCTAACTTTCTTTAACCGCTTACAAGTTTTGAAT